TTTAGAGAATCTTCCGACGCCCTCTTCAGATCAGGTTGTAATTATATTTTGTGCTCATGAGGTAGTGTTGATGTGGGGGAGACTTTTCGATCCATTCATAAAGGCTATCAGAACGCAGAACCTCCTGCAAAGATGTATGGCTTCAGAAATCGGAAGTGGCTCAACATGTGGTCGCTACAGTACACCCGATATAGTGCTATCAATCCTAAAGTTTTGCCTGAAGCTGTTACAAGACCCTGGATTACTGAATCATACTCCATTTTATTTACATGTACAAAAGTTGTGACAACATCCACTTCCCTTCCTGCCTTACTTTGACCGGCTGACATGCATCTAGTACAAGCATAAGTCAGCCAACCTCATTAAGATCGCAAAGTGAGGTATAATAGAAGTAGGCGAAGAAAAGTTGTGTTTAAGAAATCTCTTGTTTCATAATTGTTGTGCTTACTTCCATTTCGAGTGAAAGTGTTTGGTGGAAAGATTCTAAGGTCGATTTCACCAGTTGTCGATTGGCTTTACTGGAACATTCGTGCTGACACTGTTTCACCGGAATTGAAGGAGATTACCTTGGAAACAGCGTCAGCCTGAATGTTCCAGTAAAGCCAATCGACAGCTGGTGGAATCGACCTTCGAATCTATTCACCAAACCCTTTCACTTGAGATGGAAGAAAGCACAACAATCATAAAAGAAGGTAGGATCTTAGATGGTCACCTTTCTCGGTTTAGTCTTTTTGGTGAATAATGGTTTCTGGCTCCGACGATGTCCGTCACATGACGGACCAATGCTCAGCCCGGAGTCATCGATGTTGTACGACTGTGAGCCGAGGTTTTCTTCGCGAGTTCGACAGACAAACGCCCAAGGCAACTCCCCAGCGGTATCTGGAGCGGCCAATCTACATATCCCTTTGGCCCGTATTCTCAAACGAAATGAAAGGTACGCCAATATCAATCTATAAAGGCAGTGGTACCCAAACTTTTCCTAGTCGCGGCGGTCTTTTTCAATTACAATTTTTCCATGGCGCCCTACCCTAAGTATGACCATTCGTAAATAAGAGGTAAAAATAAATAAAACCCGTGTATCTTCGTTATTTTTTTTTACTTATATAACATTAAATTAATATTTAATAAATAATATGATGGATGAGCCTGCAAATCACGGCACATTTTCTCAAATCGTGGAATTAAACTGAACACGGCAACTCTCATTTCTTTTCCCACTTCGTTTTTTTTTGCTCTGTACTTGCTTTTTATTACAGCGATCGCCGAAAACCCAGCTTCGCACAAATACGACGTCGCAACTGGAATCAGAATCCGCTAAGCCTTATCACTCAGAAGAGGATATTCATCTTTTATTTAAATCCAAAATTATGTCAATTCCATGCTGTCAAATATTTTCGCTTCTTCACACTAGCGCCACTGGTTAAAGGCATTCTTTCTTTATCTGCACTATCACGTTTATAACTGTTTAAAAATCAGTCCATTATCAAAGATACAAGAGCCAAAAAATACAAAATTATTTATCAAAGGCAATGAACAAGAAGTAATATAACACTAACTAAATTACAATATGAACTCATTTACTAATTTATGTCACTATTTATTTTTGTATGAAGCGCTGAGATTAACTTCCATAGACTCAAATTATAAGCCGCCTGACTGAATCGAGCCGGCAACGCTTGCTTATATACTTTCCACAAGATCTTCCAGAACATTCACAATCTGTCGCGAAGGTTCTAAGTACCTCGACGTGTCTAGTGCGATCATATGGCGCGATCGAGAAGACGCAGTGTTTTCTCTCACGTTTTTGTTTAGTTAGGCCAAGTGTTTGGGTTAAATTAATTATGAAGTTTTTACGATATTTCGCTGCGCACAGTTTGGGAATTACTGTATTAAGGGATTCTTTGAAACCCAGCTTT